CTATCCAGGAACAGCTTGGATGCAGATGATTTCCTGATGCAGAGCTGGTCAGCTGTCCAGCTTGTGCCCTGCATTGATTCTGATGACCTAGAAGTGCTCTCAGTGTGTTTTAGGTGGAACATGGTGTCGGTGGAGGACTCGGTATCAGCAGACTCTAAATATTAAATGACTCGGATCAGGATATCTCTAATCTGGTGATTTATTCATGAGCAGCAGGATACAGGTGAGGAGTCCGTCCTCGTTCGCCAACATTGTTCAGTAACTTCTTAGAAATAAGTCCAGTTGTGTTGCTGCTGTTCGGCGTCGATGACTGAGAGCTCGTGTGTTTTATGGTGTTTGACGAAGGCGGATCACAGGATGGCGTTCGATCTGCTGCATAACTGGTTTGGAGATTAGAGGACGATACCTTATGACTGGCTGACTGTCCCAGCGGTGGAGGCTTTGGGTGAACGACTGGATGGAAACTGGATCGTGTTGGATGTGAACAACAGCAGCCGTGGACTGAGAAGGGGGAGGACAGGCGGAGGAGGAAGGATCCAAGTGTGCTGTTTGCTTTTGTATCCCGAGGGTCTGGAGGTGAGCGGCTCGTGTCGGGGCTTGTTCAATAAGAGCAGCGCATGGCAGCTCGCACAGTTCAGCAGCCAGCCCATCTCCCCGGACGGACACGCCGCCTCTTTCACTTCCACCGGCTAACCGTGAGTGGAGCAACGCTCACTACCTGCTTCTCTAACAGATGCTCCGTCAGAATAATGTTCATCTGATCAGTGAGTCCTGAGAAACGTCGAGGCCTGAAGATGAGATCGTCCTCCACGGTGGATTTCCATGTTTCCTGCCTTTCAGCACATGTGGACGGCAGCTTGTGTCTGTACTTTATGTTCCTCTGACATCTCACAGCTCATCAGCTTCGTCTTCAGGCTGCTGATCAGATCAGGTTAACAGACCGGCAGCAACACAACGCGTCTAACAGGTCAGGACAGAGTTTATAGATGATTTCAAGCTGAAATCATTCGTATCAAACTCAGCCAGCCGGATGAAGCCCTGACGAGTTTAAGAAGAGAGCAGGTGGAGTTAAAACTGATGTTTGTTCATGATTTACTTTAAAGTTTCTGCCTTTAAAAAATCGTCATAAAAAGAATGAATAAAAGTCTCTCCGGGTTCTCCGGCTTCCTCCCACAGTCCAGAAACATGCTGAGGTTAATTGGTGATTGTAAATTGTCCGTAGGTGTGAATGTGAGTGTGCTTGGTTGTCTGTCTCTAAGTGTAGCCCTGTGATAGACTGGTTACCTGTCCAGGTGAACCTGCCTTCACCCTGAGTCAGCTGGGATAGGCTCCGCCCCCCATGACCCTGGTGAGGATGAAGGTGTAGAGATCCATCCATCCATCCATTTTCTATACACCGCTTAATCCTCACCAGGGTCATGGGGGGCGGAGTCTATCCCAGCTGACTCAGGGTGAAGGCAGGTTCACCTGGACAGGTAACCAGTCTATCACAGGGCTACACTTAGAGATAGACAACCAAGCACACTCACATTCACACCTACGGACAATTTACAATCACCAATTAACCTCAGCATGTTTCTGGACTGTGGGAGGAAGCCGGAGAACCCGGAGAGAACCCACGCTGCACGGGGAGAACATGGAGACTCCACGCAGGAAGATTCCGGGTGTCCTCACCGGGACGCCAACCGGCGACCTTCTTGCTGCGAGGCAACAGTGCTACCCACTGCGCCACCTTGCAGCCCAGGTGTAGAGATGATGGATGGAAATCAGTAAAAATATAACATTATTAAAATATAATATTGTTTTTAAGGTGCAGAGCAGCAAAAACAGTAAGAACTGTGAAAATAATGGAAAATATCTGGACAATTATTATATCTGTGCTTATTTAAATACAGCAGAACCACAAAATAACTACTTACTATTTATAAAAATGCAGGTTTTTAAAATTATTCACAGTTTAGGGTTAATTAAGACCTTTTTTTGTGGTTCTAGGATAAGATAAGAAAAGCTATTACTGATCCCACAGTGAGGAAACGTGTAATGTTAGTAAAGACAGTAAAGTAGTCGTTATTTATAACTGAACAAAACGTGAAACTGTGTCAAACAAAGCATCTGTTTGAGGACGTTTCGATGGCGGTGCCCGTTAAACCACTTTAAAGGTTGTAGTCAGAGAGACGCTGGTTCACAGGAAGAGCTGCTGAGATAACGGGAGGAAGGAAGACATGGACAAAGACAGACGTGGGGAAGCTTCCTGAGCACCGACTATTCTGGTATTAGTCTGGGTTTTACTGCATTTCTGTCATTGGATGTAAGTGTGTGGTGAACGCTGGTGCAGCAGCAAGTTTCCAAACCGGCATCCAGACGTGATGTCAGCGCCGAGCCGCTCTGAACAAAGCTCCAGATGCTCGTGAGTTCCTTCCAAACAAACAGACGTCACATCACAGACAACGTTTTAGGTCATTTAAGGAGCTTTTGGTTGAGGACAGACGTTCATCTCTGAACTTAAAGCAGCTTCAGGGTGTTCTCAGCTCACCGAGGGTCATGTTCCATCATTAAGTCCTGCAGCTCTGTGGAACCAGAACCACATGAAGAGAGAACCCAGAGACGTCTATCTGCTGCTGTAACACTGCAAATTTGCTCACTGTGGCAGTGAAAAAGCTTATCTTTGGTGCTGCTACAGCTCACCTGGCTGAGCTGGCGTCCCGGTGCAGGGGCTCTAGTCCCCGATGCAGAGGTCATGGGTTCGAATCCCGCTCATGGTCCTTTCCCACAGTTCCTTCATTCTCCTGTCCCTGTCTCGGTTGCACTGTCAATTAAAGGCAAAGAGATTCCCTCAGATTTAAATGAGTTTTTATCTTGTTGACATGTTTTTTACTGGATCTGGTGAGACGTGTGGAATGAAGTGATTTCTCTGCATAACTGCCGCCCAATAAGCAGAAAAATGGGTGGCACAGCAGATTGTCCATCACTTAAACAGCAGCTCTGCCTCTCTCCACGCCATGCAGTTTGGTTTCAGATCCAAGCATTCCACTGAAACGGCTACATGCCTCTTTATTGAGAAAATAAAATTCTTTCTTGGTAAGGGTGGAGTTGTAGGGGCTGTGTTTTTGGACCTCAGGAAAGCATTCGATACAGTAAATCACTCTGTTCTCTTTACCAAGCTCTCAAACTTTTAACTTTTCTCGAAACACTGTGAGCTGGATTGATTCATATCTGCATGATCGAACACAATCTGTATCAGTA